TGGTTCCCCCGCCACCGAAGTCCGTGTTTCAAATATGTCCATCCTTATACAGGGAACCATGAAAGTAGAAAAAAATGTTCTCAAGTCCTTTTGTTGCTGTGATTTTTAATTTACATTTCCTAGCATATATTTAATAACACAATACACCCTATAATTCCAGAAAGAATGAATTTGAGTGAATTGAGTGACTTAGAAGAAGAAATTCTCCTTATGAAAATATTTGTAGGGTTTTTTTCTGCCTACGGAAGCAATTTGATTATAAAATTCAAGTATTATAGAAATATCTATTATTGGATGGATAACCTCCATGGACAAGTTGGTGTCTATTCTGACAGATTTTTTTGCATGCTGATACTAATGCTTATTGTTCATTATACACAGAAATAGAAATTATATGAGAGATGTCCAGGAAGTATCCAGCCATGTAACCATTCTTGATATATTAATAATGGCTGGATACTTTCCAGACAGCTTATAGCTAGCTATCTATCTATCAATCAAAAAAAAATACATATACATACATACACACACAAAATACATACAGAAAGAAGGGAAGTCAATACACACACACCAGCCAGCTTTCTTTTATTTTTATCCTTTTTTATTTTTGTAGATTTAGGGGGTACAAATGTAGTCTTATCACATGAATATAGTGCATAATGGTGACGTCTGGGCTTTTAGTGTAACCATCACCCGAACAGTGTACATTGTACCCATCAAGTAATATAGCTTGCTTTCTTTACTCAGCGTATCTTAGCGGTCTTTCCATGCAAATACATGTAGCTTACTTTGATCTATTTAACAGAATTCTATTGTAGAAGTACCTCGTAATTTATTCACCTAGCCCTCTATTGATTAGCGGTTGGATCCTGTGCAATATTTTCACATTATGACAGATGTTTCCGTGCACAATCCTACACACATAGCTCTGGGCACCCATATGAGTGGTCCTATAGCCAAATTCCTAGAGTGGACTTTCTGAGACAAAGGCTAAGAATACTTAAAATGTAAACATTGCTAAATGTTTTTCAGAAATATACATCCCACTAACAACAATTTCTCAACATGAGGTGCTAGTATTCTTCCAAAATTTTGCCTAATTAGCTGGTGAAAATAGAGAGAGAAATCCCCTCTTTTTTTCCAGAGTAGTGCCCCTTAAGAGCAGTGACTGGGTGAATTTCCAACAGTGAGTAAAAATGAGCCATTGGCTCAGCGTCAAATTTGTACCGTTTTATATGACTTGATCGTGTGCACATAGGTGAATTGGCCTCACTTCTGCCTTTCATTTGAGTTCTTACTTGTATTTTTCCTTTGCCTCAGTTTCCTCAATTGTTTATTTTAACCTGAAGCACCTCAAAAGTACCTTCTGGGAAAGGTATTGTATAAACGGACATCTCCAAATGGAATGATTCCACCCCAGAGGA